AAGAGAAATCTCTCCTCATCAGCTTTACAGACATTACACAAGCCCAGCCACCAACCACTCCCAACCTGCAGGTTATAGAAAGCCAAATACTCCCTTTCCCACAGGTTGTCCTTGGCTTTTGAAGTCTCCTGCACCAAACATACCTGCCCCTAGAATGCCACAGGGATTCCATCCCAAAAGGACAAGAGCTTTGAGAAAATCCAACTGGACACATGTGTAAGTGTACCAAGGCTCACCTCTGAGGTATTTCTCAAGGGAAATACCCAGCCTAGGTAGAGCTGAAACGGCTCCAGTAGCTGGGCTTGCATTGCTGTCTCTGCCCAACAGGGCCAGAGCAACCTTGGTCTGCCTCACCTGCTGATTGCCTTGGGGATTTGCAGGAAACCCCCTTGCTTTGGGCCTTAAGGAGTGGGGGAGAGTCTCAGGCCCTGTGTTGTTTCAGATTTTCAGGGGACTCTCTGTGCACATGCAAACTCACTCTTCACGCAGCAAGAAGCAGATAAGCCCATGCAAACATAGACTTAAATCCCCAAATTCAGTGTCACAGCTGGTGTGAATGGATACTGCAGCATCTCCACAGCTGTGCCTCTCAATTTACCAAGCACAGTTCAATAACCCTGGCAAAAGGTATTTTTTACCTTTATATGAGCCAGTTCTGGAGCTGTGTGGAATTAAACTGATTGAGGGCAGTTTGGGATCCAGCCCCTCTGCAGCAGCTGAACACAGAAATCAGGGGGAATTATTTAACTTTGAACAGCTGGTCAGATTTCAGACATAGCTAATAAGCTTGTTTGTGCCTGACCTTAAAAGCAAGTCTTGGTTGGATCCCAGCAATATCTGACAGGTAGATTTTTGTTGCTTCCTTTTTCTTTTTTTATTTGTTTGGGTTGGGGGGAGGGTTTGTTTGTTTGTGGGTTTTTTTGAAAGAACAAGCAAACTCTTCCAAGACTGAGGATGCCACTCATCAAACATCTCCTTGCCATGAACTGGAAACAGATGCACCACCACTGTCCCCTTAGGACAAACGTATTTACAATCCTCCTACACTCCCTGTCTTTGCCA